TATATATATATATATATATGTGTTGTTTCTACCACGTGTTACCAAGGGCGAATTATATCTGATTTTGTTTAAAATCAATCAAAACCAGATCCAATTTCAAACTTATAATTCAGTTCTCCAATTTGCAGAAACTAAATGGGAGTCTCAACTTCTTGAGTCGATTTCGTATTTAATTAATTTAAAAACTAAGTTATCTACCAAGTCGTGAAAGGATTAGACATAATTTCTTTTTTTTTTTTGAAATCGTATCTCGAAATTTTGACTTCGTAGCCATCAGCAATTCTCAGGATGAAGTAATTTCGTAATAAATACTTTAGAAAGATTTATCTTTTTCGGAATTTCTTTTTAATAGACCATAAGATATGTTCTTTTTTTAAAGAAAATATACGTATTTATATTCCTTTTGTCCTATATTCCTTTTGGAATGTAATAAGAGTGCAACTTGAACAACAATATTGCTTCAGATACACTCGATGGGTAACTAGGAAAGTAGCAACTGGGACAATAGCGGCTGTATGGCTTCTGGCTGCTTTAATATCGTTCGTTCCGATTTCACTGGGATTGCATCGGCCTCCCCAACCTCTCACCATAAATTCTGGGGGACAAGACTACCCCACTTGTGCACTCGATCTCACTCCAACCTACGCCGTCGTCTCGAGCTGCATTTCCTTCTACGTTCCTTGCATTGTTATGTTGGGTAAGTCCGATTTAATAAAAATTAGTTAATACATGTTTAATCTGGTAAATATTCCTCTTAAGCCGCCCCTGTACTTCTTAAATTTAAAGGAACTGTTTGAATTTAAAAAAAAACAACTACCAAGTGCAAGTGAAATAAAAATGACAATTTGTAGAAAATGAGAATACATTAAGTATTCTATTTTATAAGTTTTCGGAAACTGACTTTTTAGTTAGTTTAGTTTCAGAATAATATTTACCCTTTTTACATTAGGATCAGCATAATCAAGAAATAGTCCTTTTACATGCATTATATATGTGACAGTCCTTCAGAAATATTCATCTTTTTCGGAATTCCTATTCACTTCCATGTCTGCAAACGATTAATTTAGAAATTCGATAAAGATTGTTAAAGGTTTGTTTGGAGCGCTGCGCTGTACGGGTGCGAAACATGGACGGTGGGTGCGGCGGGTAAGTAAAGGTTAGAACCGTTCGAAATTTGGTATTACAGGCGAATAGAGAATACCTGGGATAGAGAAGGTTAGAAATGAAGAGGTATTAGAAAGAATAGGAGAACAGAGGACTCTATGGAAGTCAATAAAAAGGTAGGCGAGATAGATTGGTAGGACACCTTCTCAAGTATGAAGGTCTAGTCAGAAACAGAGGCAGAAACAGGAGTTAGGAGGGGTAGAGGTAGACGTAGATTAGCTCAGGATAGGAAAGAGTGAAGGTGCGTGTCCAACCAGTCTTACCACTGACGACTTTATGATGATGATGACACTTTAAAATTTCCACTTAAATATTTTTGTGTGCTTACAATTAGTTATAAAAATAAAAAGAAAACTATTTTATATTGTTTCAAAATCTCGCAAAACTTCCTGGACAACAATTAGCTCTCAAAAACTACTTATCTACATAAACTTTGTTATCATGCCCTAAACAATTGTATGTATGGTTTCTGTTATAATACAACACCTGCCTTATGCAATATAATATTATCTTAAAAAAAAATGTAGAACAACATTTCATCTTATACATACAAATGTGTTTTAAAGGACAGTGGGAAACGCTGCGAACGTTTCGCTTTAGTTTGTGATCATCGAAAATGATTATCTTTCATTATTTACTAAAGTTCACCTTACTTGCTTCAGGCAACTACAGACTCTCTCCCTTAAACAACTCGTCGAACATTTTGAACTTGAGCAAGCGGAAAGTGTTTTCCTAAAAACTGCAAATAGAAATGTGTACATGCTTTTCCGATTTTACAGTTTTGGCATGCTCTCAAAGCACAGAAAGAGGAAAACAGGAAGAAAATACAGTCCTCTTTCTAACAGCAAACGGATCACTTAATGTTCGTTTTTCAAAGTCGTTCAGGCATTCTAGCGTTCGGAATCAGCGATCTGAAAGGGCGTTCATATGAAATATTCAGCAGGATTTAGTAATTCAGCCGCTCCATATATATATATTTTCTGCATAGGTACTATCTTGCTGCAAAGGTATGCGTTGTCGGGTATTCTGCGAGATAGACTAAAAGCGAAAATTGCAAAAGTAGTTCCCTACAATTCTTACCTAGAACTAGATACTTGTATAGAAAATCACATACTTTTCAATTGATCTATTCCAAGACGCCTAATCCATTAAAACTAACATAAACTATATAATATATATAATTATCATATCAGTGTTAGAACTGACGACCTTATGATCCTGATCCTGATCCTGAGGTAATCTTTGTATTTTCATAACCCATATCCTTAACTATTTGCGAACAGTAACCTAATCTAGCTCTACCTCTACCCCTCCTAACTCCCCTTCCTGCCTCTAATATGTCTCTGACTAGACCTTCATGCCTGAGAAGGTGTCTTACCAACCTATCTCGCCTATTTCTTATTGACTACCATAGAGTCCTCTGTTCTCCCATTCTTTCTAATACCTCTTCATTTCTAACCTTCTCTATCCACGGTATCCTCATCATTCCCTTGTAACACCACACCTCGAACACTTCTAACCTTTTCTTTTCCGCCGCGCCTACTGTCCATGTTTCGCACCCGTACAACGCCGCGCTCCAAACATACACCTTTAACAATCTTTATCGAATTTCTAAGTTAATCGTTTGCAGGCATAGAAATGATTTCTTTGTATTGAAGGCGACTCAACCCTGCGCTATCCTTTGCTTTATATCCCTACTACTCCTTCCGTTCTGGCTTATCTGACTTCCTAGATACATAAAATCAGCCACTTCTTCTACTCATTCGTCGCCTACCATTACATTCACTCTTTCCCTACTTTTTCTTCCCTTGCATACCAATATGCATATAAAAACAAAATTTTATAAGTACATAATTGAGTTACTTAAAGAATACGACATCTCATAAAATTTTAACAGAAAAAAATCAAAAATCATTTCGATCAACTTATAATAAACGTAATTATAATCATCATCGTTAATGTGTTCGATTAAGTGTCTCCTCAAGATGATCTTCTACCCAATAACAACCTTGTAAACCAAAAGCTATATACATTTTTACTGGCTTATAAGCACACACAGCAGTTGTCCGTTTTTGTAAAGAACTTTTTAAGGAAGTCTTTTTAGAAATTTGTTAAAAATTCAAATATACATTTTTGCCCCGAAAACGTCAATAACGGGTGATAATAAATGAGGACGGATATGAAAAGGTTGATAACCTAAAAACTGGCGCTATCTTTACTGATACTCTTTTGAATCAACAAACTGTAAACGGTTGATGTCCTGAAAGTAAGTATCTTCTCGTCGTCCTTAGAAAGGACGACGATATACGAACGGAGCATCAAGAAAAGAAAAAAATTGATGCGATTTCCGGAAATTGTATCGTAAAACGTAACATTAGTGTTACCGGAAGTAACTTCCGGTAACTGCCGGAAATAGAGCTTTCCAACGACTGATAAACACCTTCATGAACATTGTGAATAACATCCTTGAAATGCTTTTTAAAAATTTTAGTTTAATGTTAAATATCGGAGATACAATCTACATACGTAATATGAGTATGTATTTAGTTTTCTTTCTCTAGAAATCCTACACAAAAATTTTGTTGCATATATTAAAAAACCTTGAACCTATTAGAAAGAGTAGAAGAGAGAAAACGCTATGAAAACCGATAAAAAATAGACGAGATAGGTTGGTAGGACACTTTTATGGGCATGAAGGGATAATTAGAGACATTATAAGCAGAAACAGGAGTTAAGAGGTATAGAGGTAGGTCTAGATTATGTATTATAGTTTCAAACAAATACGAAGGTTAGCTCAGGATAGGAAAAAGTAGAGGTGCATGTCCAATCAGTCCTAAGACTGACGACCTTATGATGATGATAAGTTTTTCAGTTATTAGACCTTATTTATGTATTAATATGAAAAATGTAATGGATAATTTAGTATTTAGTTAAAATTCCTGATTTATACCAAAATATTTCTAATACTATTTTTACAACTTGACTGGATTCAACTTACAACTACATAAATCGAACTGATAGTAAAAAGTATATATTTTTACAATACAATTTTCCTCCAAATCCCTTTGTATTAATAGAAACTTCAATGGTGGTTACTTAATCCACTGAAATTATTAGCTATTCTTTCTGAGAAATGTTGTTCTAATTGGGGACTTTGGTTCTGATTAATTGGCTAGTAAGCATAGAACGTAACGTTTAACTTCGTTAAGAGTGAAACATGAGTCGAAATACATCAGTATTTGTAGGTCCTTCAATTAAGGGCGACATCGTTCAAACGACTAAATAGACGGCTGGATTGCAAAATTAAGTCAGATAGTAAATAGATTACTATCACATGATACGTACATTAGTTTGCCTCTATTAGTGTGTAGTATACATGTGCACCTTTGGTACATTCGCGTAAGTAGTGTTGCCCAAACGCAAGAACAAGACGAGACTTAGCCAGTCTTGGTCTTGGTCTTGGTCTTGCGCCAATACACCTGGTCTTGGTCTTGGTCTTGGTCTTGCGCTCCCAGTCTTGGTCTTGCAGCAAGAGTCTTGCAAGTCTTGCAATTACCTATTAGTCTATTACTATTTATTAAAGTTTACTTTAAATCCTAGAAAAACGTATTAGAATTGGAACATTGTGAGCTTGAATGAATATAGCCATAGTAAAGATCAAGCAGATTAATAAATAACTGAAGATTTGATAAGAAATTCGAAAAATCAACTGACCTATATGTCGTTTTCCATGGAAGTAACTGTTTCTTAATAAACATTTATGATCCTTGCTTTCTACCGCGCCGCCTCGCCACGTGCCGGCTCTATGATAAGGATGCCGCCGCAAATCAAACAATAATATAAAGCGTGTAAAAAAATTCGAAATTATTTTGCATGAGTATACCTACACCCTATGGCGGCAATCAAATAGTGTCAAATGTTATGATTTCGGCGTGGCGGCAACGATTGTTTTAGATTTCAAAAGAAGCCGCCGGCGCGTGTATCATAACCATGTACTTCCGAAAAGCGGCAAATTTCTTTGAGAAGTAAGTACAAAACCTTTGATGCCGCATTATCAAAGTGCCGATGGTTAAAACATAACTATGCATGCACTCAGTTTGATTTTAATAATTTTTTTATTCGCTATGTTTATGGTATTAGTCGTAATGCGCATAGGTCCAGTTTTTCATATTCTTTGATACAGTTTTTTGCGTCTCATAGAATTCCTAAGCGTACCTACCTATACACCGAACTGTTACACCTAACTACTCAGTGAAATAGCGCTAAGTCCTAGCTGCAAGACGCAAGAGTCTTGCAGGCTATGTCTTGTTCTTGCTCAAGTCTTGCACGGTCAGTCTTGGTCTTGGTCTTGCTAAAAATACGCGGTCTTGTTCTTGGTCTTGGTCTTGCAAAAACGCAAGAACAAGACCAAGACTGCAAGACCAAGACTGAATTTGGGCAACACTACGCGTAAGTGAAATTTAAACGTAGCCAACATGGGAAAACTCATACAACTGAGCAGAAAACTCAGCATCCTAACGTTTTTGTGGATTT